GCACTTTGAAGACGGCAGAATAACTTACGTTTACGGCTAGTCCTGACGTTGATCGCCCCGGCTGGGGTTTTTGAATCATTGCTCCTGCATCAAAGACTACGCCTGATTCATAATATCAGGCTTTCTTTTTCGACCGTAGCCAAGATCACAGTTTTCACACTTCTCCAAAAATGCCTTCTGCTTGGCGTGGTCCTACCCAGAAAGGGGGCCGAGTGCTGTCACGTGCGAGGCTACGTACCGGTGAGGCACTCGGGCGGACGGCGGGCTCGAACGAAACGGGTTCGACAACACTGAAAAAAAAAAACACACACATTTTACGTGTGTTCCCCAGTTGAACCAAACCAATCAGGAGCGAGCAAGTCCACGTGACCCTGGGAGGTAGGCAACCCACCATAGCCTGGGTGGGGCCGCGGGCGGCCGCGCCGAAATAGTGGGTGGGTCCTGTATCCTTCCTTCCCTCTCTACCGTTTAAGTAAGTCAGCTGCTCACAAACAGAAGTGCTCGTCGTTGTGAGAAAACCCAGCAATATGGATGCATTTTAATATATTGACGTAAGTGTCCGAATATTCGTTTCGTTGAAAAAGGATAAAGAAAGTGGCATATTTGTTTATTGAAAATGTTTTTGCAGCCGACTGCAGAACAAGCCATCAGACAGCAACTCGAAGGCAATGGCATACCAATTAGAGATATGTACTGTGCCGGAGTGTCTCAAAAAGATTCAAAATATTTGATCAGCTATGACATTTTACCTGGGCATTTTAATTTGAAGACAGGGACAAAGTCTCAGAGACGGGAGATGAAAAAACTCTTGAATGACATAACCTTCAAAGTGCTGGATATGGACTTTAAGATGCAATTTCTCAAAGAGATAATTTGCTACTATAATGCACCTCACACCCAAAAGGGGTATGAAAAAGTGTTATTTTATCATGTGTCATGCACAAATGAATGAATTTTACTGTAAATGTAGGCATCCAGCCTCCTTTTTTAATTTTAATTTATCAGCCAACTTCCTAGACATTCACGAAGTTATTACAATGAAATAAATATGTTAAAGATTCAGAACAAATTAAAATGTCTTATTAGCAACTAACATTAACTAATTATTAGCTCACCTCATGAGTAGTAGTCCTTCTCTGTGCAGAAACCACAGAGGCCAAAATTCGCAGTGAATTCGTACGAGTCCACCACGCACGACTCATCGTCCAGGCGATACTGGAGGTCGGGGAAGGTGTCCTGGAATAAATACAAACGATTGGTATGGGGTACATTATAACCATATCTCATAATGCTCACATTTATACCTACGCTTATCCAATTCTGCAGATGCGTCCTCCGCTCTGCAGGGGTCAAGGTTTCCCAGTTTTCTTCTATCATTCTGCTTGGGAGCGAACCTCGGTAAAAAGCATATCTGTTTCAAACAAAAAATTAATGTGTATTATTCATTATCTAATTAACAGTTAGTCATCAGGTGCTATGTCAATCAATACATACTTCCCATTCCTATCCACCCCTACGGCTAGTATGTGAGGCCCCTCTTCCTTCAGTCGTTCATGGATTCCTTTAGTCAGTTGCTGCAAAGTAAACAAATAAAATTAATGGGGGGTCGTGGAAGATCCTTTCTTGCCTCGGACTTTTGTGTTACAACAAGAATTTTAAGACATCCAAAACTATTGACTGATTAATTAAGATATATTTTTTTAGGATTTAAATTTTTGGATTAAAACAATTGATTGTAAAATATCTTATACTTTTTTTATACTTTTACTTTATCCCAAAGCTCTTCTTGTGTCATGCTGGAGAAATACTTGAAATGATGACAGACCGCATTGCATTATTCTTGCAGTAACTTAGTTAAACAATAAAAGTTGTGTGGTATTATTGGAAAATATCAAATACTTAAAAATTTAAAGAGAAGATTGAATACTTAGTGAAATTAAATTCTATACAAATTGGAAAGAAACTCACCAATCACGCATTGGCAAATCCGGCGGCATCCTCTTGATTTCTATTTCATTACAACTCTTCGGCTTTAAAGCCTGATACCAACAAAAAAGCCATTCCAAAATTGTCAAAATCTAGTCACAGTTATGTATTGACAAGAAACAATTAATAACTTCTTCTTTCACTCCATATGTAGCAGCTGATTTTGATTGATGTCTTCTTACTTGCAATAAAAAAATATTGTCATACTATAATATAATCCTACTATTCATTTCATATTTGGGGAAAGTTAAATGTTAAGCTTTAGTCGTATAAGCAAATTTTGACAATAAATATATGAAATTTGTGGACGTCGATGACCAGATGACTCTGCTGGTTTGCAGAACTCAGAGCGGGAATCAAGAATGTTAACAGATATATTATCAAATTTTGAGAATAGGTATTTGAAAGCAAATAAACAAAAGTAGTCAGCAGGTATTGATAAATCTAGCATTTTGTTGGACGTCGATGACCAGATAATGACTGCTGGGTAGATGTAGTAGTTTGCAGAACTCAGAGCGGGAATCAAGAATGTTAACAGATATATTAAAATAAAAAGAAATGCATCCCAAAAAGCGAGGAATGTCAATTTAGACTGGAGTGAGCAAGTATTCAACATAAAGGAAGTTAATGTTAATTTTTTGTTAAGTCAGCAACATACAGAAAGTTTCTAATTTTAAGACATGTCACATAAATGAAATAAATCTAGCATTTTTTTTTTTTTGATAGAACTTTGATGTGACGTCTACATAAGAAAACAACATTACCAAATCGTACTCTTACCCAAGCAAAATGCCTGCACTGTTCTTCGATGGTGTACTGTAAGGGCCTCGGCTTGCTGAACCTCGATTTTGATCTCTGTGTTGCTCCCTCGTGGGCGGACAACTTGTGCGAGCCGTTACACCACAACGGACGCAACAACCTACGGCGGTAATTGGCTGATGACATTTCTACACAGTAAGTACTAAACAACGAACGAGCAGGTCGGCACAGGTCGGTGCACGTACTGACTGTCTGCTCGGCTCAAATTGCGTGCCGATATGCACGTCAGTGCTGCCAGCATGAATCAGCCCAACCAACCGCCCTCCCTACACTCACAAATTTGGCTAAAGTAGCATATTGTAAGGCATGTAAATTGCGCATTTGACCAAGACCTCAAACCAAATTATTTTCCCTTGAAACGTGCACAACTGCGAGAAAGAGGGGACCTTCCCGTTTCCCAGGCCTGGAGACGCTGAAAGCGGTAATCCTCATGGTTTTTAGCCCGCCCTTCTGCTTTTAAAAAAGCATTAAAGCGGGCTTATGCAACCGCTCTCGTGTCTGTCTGT